TGCACATGAACCTTTGAAGAGAAGAGAGAGAAGGAGAAAGGGAGAGAGGGAGGAGAAAGGGAGAAAGGAAGAAGAGAGGAGGAGGAAAGGAAGAAGGAGAGGAGGAGGAAAGGATTAGAGCCAGTGATCTTGTGATATTCAGGGTTACACAGTGGAAAATGTCAGCACTACATGACCCGGAGTTATAAAACCAAAGTGAAATGTTGTTGTCGTCACCCCACACACCGAGAGCGGGACTTTGTGTGTGTGTGTGAGGTGTGTGTGTGTGTGTGTGTGTGTGTGTGTGTGTGTGTGTGTGTGTGTGTGTGTGTGTGTGTGTGTGTGTGTGTGTGTGTGTGTGTGTGTGTGTGTGTGTGTGTGTGTGTGTGTGTGTGTGTGTGTGTCCTATCATAGTGTTATGCCCCATTGGACTTTAACCTGTCGTCTCTGATTAACATAACCACCTGTAAAATATCCTTATCATCTAACCTACTAACCAAACCAACCTAACCCAACCAAACCAAACCCAACCTACTTCTAACCCAACCAAACCTAACATCTAACCTAACCCAACCTAACCAAACCAAACCAAACCTAACCTAACCTAACCTAACCCAAGCAAAACCAAGCCTAACCCAACCCAACCCAACCAAACCAAACCAAACCTAACCTAACCCAACCAAACCAAACCTAACCTAACCTAACCTAACCTAGCAAACCAAACTAACCTAACCTAACCCTAACCAAACAAACCAAACCAAACCTAACCTAACCTAACCAAACCAAATCTACCTAACCAAACCCAACAAACCCTAACCAAACCTAACCTAACCTAACAAACCAAACCTACTAAACCTAACCTAACCTAACCAAACCCAACCTTACCTAACTAACCTAACCTAACCAAACCTAACCTTACCTAACCTAACCTAACCCAACCAAACCTCAACACCTAACCTAACCAAACATAACTAAACCAAACCTAACTTAACCCAACCAAACCTAACCTCACCTAACCTAACCTAACCAAACCAAACCCTAACCTAACCTAACCAAACATAACTAAACCAAACCAAACAAACCTAACCCCAACCTAACCTAACTAACCAAACCTCAACCTAACCTAACCTAACCAAACCTAACCTTAACCACAACAACCCTAACCAAACATAACTAAACCAAACCTAACCAAACAACTAATCTAACCTAACCAAACCAAACCAAGCCTAACCAAACCTAACCTAACCAAACCTAACCTAACCAAACCTAACCAAACCTAACCAAACCTAACCTAACCAAACCTAACCTAACCAAACCTAGCCAATTATACCTTTAAACACACACAGTTCCCATATATATTTTACCATTAATCTGGTTATATATTTTCTTATATATTCCTGGAAGACATACACACAAATGGCGGCCTTGTGACGTTCTTTCAGTTTAACCTGTAACGTTCTTTCAGTTTAACCTGTAACGTTCTTTCAGTTTAACCTGTAACGTTCTTTCAGTTTAACCTGTAACGTTCTTTCAGTTTAACCTGTAACGTTCTTACAGTTTAACCTGTAACGTTCTTTCAGTTTAACCTGTGACGTTCTTTCAGTTTAACCTGTAACGTTCTTACAGTTTAACCTGTGACGTTCTTTCAGTTTAACCTGTAACGTTCTTTCAGTTTAACCTGTGACGTTCTTTCAGTTTAACCTGTAACGTTCTTTCAGTTTAACCTGTAACGTTCTTTCAGTTTAACCTCTACGTTCTTCAGTTTAACCTGAACGTTCTTACAGTTTAACCTGTAACGTTCTTTCAGTTTAACCTGTGACGTTTTCAGTTTAACCTGTAACGTTCTTTCAGTTTAACCTGTGACGTTCTTTCAGTTTAACCTGTAACGTTCTTTCAGTTTAACCTGTGACGTTCTTTCAGTTTAACCTGTAACGTTCTTTCAGTTTAACCTGTAACGTTCTTCAGTTTAACCTGTAACGTTCTTACAGTTTAACCTGTAACGTTCTTTCAGTTTAACCTGTAACGTTCTTTCAGTTAACCTGTAACGTTCTTTCAGTTTAACCTGTAACGTTCTTACAGTTTTAACCTGTAACGTTCTTACAGTTTAACCTGTGACGTTCTTACAGTTTAACCTGTAACGTTCTTACAGTTTAACCTGTAACGTTCTTTCAGTTTAACCTGCAGACGTTCTTACAGTTTAACCTGTAACGTTCTTACAGCTTAACCTGTAACGTTCTTTCAGTTTAACCTGTAACGTTCTTGGTTTAACTTAACGTTCTTTGATTTAACCTGTGACGTTCTTACAGTTTAACCTGTGACGTTCACAGTTTAACCTGTGACGTTCTTACAGTTTAACCTGTGACGTTCTTACAGTTTAACCTGTAACGTTCTTACAGTTTAACCTGTAACGTTCTTACAGTTTAACCTGTAACGTTCTTCAGTTTTAACCTGTGACGTTCTTACAGTTTAACCTGTGACGTTCTTACAGTTTAACCTGTAACGTTCTTACAGTTTAACCTGTAACGTTCTTACAGTTTAACCTGTGACGTTCTTACAGTTTAACCTGTGACGT